ACATTCTTCCCCAATCCAGAAGCCTGGCCCCTCACAGCCCAGAACTCAGAACAGGGAGGGCTCCCAACAGGCGGCCACTCCAGTCTGCAGTGACTCTCTTAGCTCACGGAAGTACCGCTTGTGATGAAATGGGGCCAAAAAGGTTGCAAGGGAAAATGAGCTTTTAGCAAAAACCACAGGCTCTCCAGCTGGAGAGGCAGTGCCAACAGCTTGGGACAGGTGGCCTTCTCAGCTGTCGGATGAGCAAACCAACTAAAAATACCCTGATTTCAATGAGACCATTTCTAGCCACTGCCAATAGGCTCTCCCAGGTCTCTGTTCCCATTTAAAACAAACAATGCAGCAGGCCCTGAACATAATCGTCCCTTTCCTGCCGGTCCCCGCCATCCTGTGCACGGCAGAACTCTGCTCTGCAAGAAGGGGAAAGAATGAGTGAGGGGGTGCTGGCAGTGGAGACTGGCCTTGGCCGATGAGCTCACCAGGTCAGCGAGCGGTGGTTGTGGGCCAATTTTGGCTGAGGAGGAAACAGAGAAGCAGGGAGAGGAAGTGGCTTCTGTGCTTGTGTATCTTGCTATATATAGTCGCACACAGGCTATCGCACACCAGCGGGTCTCTGGAACCCTGAAACTCCAGGGTCAACTGGGCATGGGGCCGGATGGCAGAGTGATGAAGGAGTGGATTGGGGGCAGGTGGTGCTTGGCACTACGGCAGTGGGGGCAGCTTTTGCTATCATGTGGTTACTGGTCTGATCTTTAACTCCAGTCAAAGAGAGATAATACATCAGTAATGCACAGTTACCCAACCTGTTCTGCAGAATCCCAGTGCCTGATGGTGAGGTGGCCACGGAGGCCAGTGACTCCCCCACCTCCCATGTACGGAATAAGGCTCACGGGAGGCAAACGTGTGGACTTGGAGTGTGACCGCCCAGGTTAGCCCATCTCTGCTTTCCTTGCTATGCCTGTCCCTGAGCATGTTCGTAATTGTTTGAGTTTGAATTTCCTAATCTATAATGTGGGCTAACACCTAAACTGAAGTGTCATTGTGAGAACTAAATGTACTGTTTTTGCAAAAGGCTAACCACAGTGTCTAGCACATAGAAGGTGTTTGGTAAAAAACAACCAAAAACACCCAGTACAAACCTAAGTCCACACCCATTAGTGGCAGAATTAGGAAATGAACCCTGGTCACCCGCTTCCTGAGCCAGAACGATCTCTTCTAGGGTTTTGTCTCTTGGCCGCCTTGGCTTGTGTGTGCCTGTGTGTGGAGGGCATGGGGGCGGGGGAAGGAACCAATGTTGGTTTTGATAGACTCCTCCCAGCCTCATCATAAATAAGTCTCTGGTATGTCTCCATCTTCCGTCCCAGGGGAATTGCATGATCAAGGGTATGGGGGAGGAGAACGAAAATTCAAATCTGATAAAAAGGAGTGGATGTGGGAATGAGGGAAGAGATTAAACTAGCAATTGACCCTCACCCCCATGGAGCAGTTAGATGCTAATCTCTGACTCAATTGTACAAGAGGGAAAATAAACCACACATTTTGTACAGACACCAAAGTGGAAAATTCCTGTTTGAAAAGTTGTCTAATAGAAGAGGACAAAGCAACCCCATAAGCGAATAGATCTGCCCCTACGGGTTTCAGAGACTGTAAAGCTTTACGAGAGGACCCCGTCTTCCTCCCCAAGGACCAGCTGGTGGTTCCAAACTGCTAACCTTATGGTTCGTGGTTCAACACGTGACCCACTATGCCACCAGGGCTCCTTTTCTTCTGGCCGTAGAGAATCAACAGGTGCCACCTTCTCTCTGAAGCACTCCATCCAGGCGTGTCAGTGGAGAGCCCAGGGCTTCTCAGCAGAGAGCCATGCCTACTGTCCCTTACTTGTGGCACCTTCTGAGATTTGACCAGACACAGGTCTGGACTCTGACTGATGTGTCTTCTGTGACTCTTGGCCAGGCATTTGGAAGGGTGGTAGCTGTTTTCACAGGGACTCTGGGGAACTTTTGAAGTGTGGCATCACCTTGCAGAAAGCAATTGGGGTCTTCTGAGCTCCAACCAATGCCAATACAGGAAGTAGGGGGTGGCTACACCAAGAGAGGTCACCAGGGGGCCCCCATGCTAACTAAGCCTAAGGGGAAATGATGTAATCTATGTGGGGAGGCCAATAGGAGCTCTGAAACCTGAGGCTCAGTGGGGGAGTGGAAGTGGTGCTTTCTGGTTGGTGAAAACTCAGGGAGACAGAGACCAGCTGGCCTTCATTGGGACATGGAAGCTCTGTGCTGCGACCCATGCTAACCTCCCCATACATTTGTATCCTTTTTGGTTTTAACAAAGCTGGAGCCCTAAGTATGATGTTCTCTCTGAGAAGTCTGTCCAGCAAACTTATGACCCTACATGGGCAATAAGAGCCAGTAAAGCAGTGGTTCTCAACCTGTGGGTCGTGACCCCTTTGGAGGTATATGGGAAACAGAAGGATTTTTCCCAAGTTGTCTCCCCCAAATATATGCCAAACTTAGCTGCTTACGAATGACTATACACTTGGAGGTCATCAGGAGTAGCCATCTAGAGCAAGCAAACACCACTGTTTATCCCACAACAAGTAGGGCCCACTCCCTTCTGATAAGGATAGTAGTTGTCTGTTTCCTCATAGGAGACAACAGAGAGGTCAAACCTGCCCAAGGATGACCAAGGTTAGGCTGCCATCATGAATCTTGGGCCCGCCCATCTTGTCACATGCATACCCCTAGACCTTCCCATTCCTAAGGGGACAACCCTAGCTCATCCCCTTCCTGTTACGCTTATGCCTATCATACATCCTCTTCCTACAATGTGTATGCCTGTAGTACTGCCCCTTCCTCTGACATGGGGTTACTTGTAATCATGTCCCCCTAATGAGATATTACCCTTGGTTAGCAATGAAGTTGGGGCTCCCCCTGTCCTCATCCCCGGGGGCTCTCCTGCTCTCATGGCTGGGCTCCCCCCGCCCGCCCCAGGACCACCAAGAGGGGCTGAAGTGAGCATGCTACCATGAAATGTGTCTGACTCCATAATTTGACTCTCTCCTCTACCTCTCATGCTCTCTATGACTTTACTATAATCTTTACTTATTATCGCTGTACAATTGCACCTACCGGACCTGTGATGATTTGTTGGGGACTCTCTTTACTCCACAGTAGAGCAGTGGTTCTCAACCTGTGGGTTGTGACCCCTTTGGAGGTCGAATGACCCTTTCACAGGGTCGCCTGATTCATAACAGTAGCAAAATGGCAGTTTTGAAGTAGCAACAAAAATAATTGATGGTTGGGGGGGTCATCACAACATGAGGACCTGTATTAAAGGGTTGCAGCACTAGGAAGGTTGAGAACCACTGCAGTAGAGGCTGCTTTCTACATGGCTGTCTGAAAGAAGGTGCCCTTCCAATGTGTGAACTGGGTCCCAGCTCCAGGTGGCTAGGCTCGGAGCATGCTAAATTAGTGATTGATGGGCAAATTCAGAAGCGGGCAGGTAAGGCCTGGACCTACATCTGCATTTTGGGAACTGGATTCATGCTGAGCCTTACTACTAACTACACTGAGCAGTTCAGGATGACCAGCATAGTCTAGCAGTCAACGCCTTTTAACTACTCCCTGGCCTTGCAGGACAGTCCCATACAATGAAGTCGTGTCAATATCAATAGCACTATATTACTTTCCACCCTAACGACCAGGCATGTGCAAACATTTCTACAGAAAAAGAGTCATCACTTCCCATGCCCTTCAGCAGGAGGTGAAGCAGCAGTCCCTGAAGCTTGGCTATCCCTCCCAACCTCAAACCCTTTCTTGAAACTCCAAACAATTAAGAGTAAGTGGCATTTTCATGGGTGGTGGTGGTTGTTGTTTTTCTCACTCTCAAAAAAAAGAAAGAGAGAAAAGAAAAACCCAACCTCATAAGGCAGGGTAAACAAGTGGCTCTCCAGACATCAGCTTGCTAATATTAGCACCGGGAGGGTTGACAACAGGATTTCCCAGGAGGGCAAAGGAACATGCTGCTGGTGTGATTGATGCCCATCTGTCTGTCCCTAGCCACCCAGAGGGTATGTGTAGGAAGGCGTGAAGACAGTTAAAGGGCCACCAACAGTTATAGGAACCTTCCTCAGGGAGTCATGCTAGGCAACCTCAGAATAACTGGCCAAAGGTGGGACGCAGTCCAGCACACAGTGACCTTATATGCTCTGGGACAACCTGATAGGCTGATGTAAATAGAAACAGCAGGCCTCAGGGGCCCAGAGATAGACAGTCAATGCAGAAAACCCCAGTAGTAATGAGGCTACTAACTCTACTGTGAGAGCCTCACTCAACTAACCCGCCCTCCCCACTGCCTTCTTCCTCTGGCCAGCAAGCCACTCACCTGACAAAGTAGCAGCAGAAGAAAAGGCTGAACATGAAGACAAAGATGCCTGTTCCGAAGATGACGATGTAGATGTTGAGGGGAAGGTCTTGGAAGCTGACGGGTGGCAACGAGCAAGTCTTGTTGGTGCTAACCAGTCCCAGCCCACAGGAACACCCTGGAAAAGGGAAGAAACAATCGTATGCTATGGAAATTTAGTACTGGGTTTGATGGCCCTCTCGGTTGGCAAGGATATAGTCAAGGGGCAGAATCTCAGCTATTGTATGTCTGTTTCAATGGCTCAGGATTTATATCTAGCTCCAACCCTGATTAAGTTGTGTGATCTTCGGTAAATCATCTAACCAATCCGTGCAATGCAATAGTACACAGAGTACCTAGAATGGCACCTCAAGCCCAATGCTATCACATCGACTGCAACCCACAATAGCCCATAGGGCAGAGTAGAATGGCTCCTTGCAGTTTCCAAGCTTGTAATTCTTTCCAGAAGCAGACTGTTTTGTCTTTCCCCTGCCGATGGGTTTGAACCATTGACCTGGTGGTTCGCAGTCCAACACTTAACTCACTATGCCACTAGGGCGCCTCCAACTGGGGGCATTGCAACTTTAGGCAATGGGCAGAAAATGCAAAACTCAATTCCAGATAGGTCCACAATACAGCAGCAATACGAAGAGGAGCAGTTGGGAATATCTGTATTGGATTTCCAGTTCCTTCTCTCCTTGGGCAGGAAGTTAACTCTCGATGCTTTACTTTGTTACATAAAAATGAGAAACCAACGATGGTGTGAGCGGCTGCTCCAGCAAACTGGCAGCACCAAGATTGGAGCAGTGTTCCAGAAAGTGGCAGGACTTTCAGCTTACCTTCCTGGTCACCTTTCCCTTTTCTACTTAAAGCACCAGAATAGAGTCCCCTAATGGGGAAGTGGGATCCCCTGGGAACCTGTCAGCAACGCCGCTTCCCAGGCTCCCGTCTCAGACTGAATCAGAATCTACAATGTAACAAGCTGCCCTGGGGCCTCCTGTGCGTACTCACTTTGAGAAGCATTAACTACCAAATGGATAATTCCCCTTCTCATATGGCAAACGAACAAACAAAAAATCACGGCCACTGCACTGAGATACAATCCCTCTGTTCAAAAGGAGGAGGGGGAGAAAAAATATTAATTAAATAACTTGCCCACTGACTAATAGCGAGGGTTCTGATTCCAAAGGCCACAGGATCAAGCCCTCAACACGCATTTTTGGCACTTCCCAGACAGCTGTGGTAGAAGCCAGGAGTCACTAGTATTGCTATGTTATAGCTACCAGTATACCCCTAAAAGGCTGGTCTGAAATACTGGAAGTCATCTTGGACACATACATCTTGCCTTCATCCTGTTTACCAGAGTGGTACCTGAGACCCATGTAGTGAGCCTCTCTTCAAACTTCTTTTAGATACCACGCCTAATTCTATTGCCACATCTCTATTTCCAACCCGCACATTACTCACCCCCACCTCCTCATCCATGCCATTCCTGTTTCAAGTCCCAAAGTTCTCTAATTAAGCCCACATGCCTGACACATCCTCCCGCGAGGTTTTTATTATGTCCTTTCCAAACTCACAAGCGGTTTCATGTCCTCTCCACCATTCTCTCAGCTTCCTGCCAATTGGCCAGCACCACCCTCTGCAGCCCTATCTACTCACTGCTCAACCTTGTTCTCACCTTTCTCCATACATACCTGTGATGATGCAGCCTTTCCTGGCCGAAACCATCCCTCCTCCAGAAGTCCACCAATCCCACTCCGTGAGACTCCTGTGGCCCCTATCTTCCCTGAATTCCATAGTGCTCCTGGTCTGGTACTTCCAATTCCACTCTGACATACACGGAGTCACCATGAGTCAGAGTCTGCTCAATGGTTTCTGGTTCTCCGGGCTCCAGGACTGAGTTTGGGGAAGGCATGATATATGGATGGGAAGTGTTGGGGAGCACTGGCTTGTCTAGCTCATTTAAAAGAAAAAAGTGTACTAAAAGTAAACTAATAAGGAGAGTGAGTCCCAATCTCAGGAACAGGGTGGCTCCTGATAATTTCCCACAAAGTAGTGAAGGGGATTGCTCCTTCAACGAAATCAAAGAACAGTATCTCTGCCGAAGTGAAAAGAGAGCAACACGTCCTAAACTTCAACTACAACTCGCTTTCATCCAGTCCATTCTGACTCACACCCAACCTACAGCACAGGAAGCGTTTCAGAGCCTGTGACTCTCTAGGAGTAGAGAGTATCCTGCGGATAGGCTGGTAGTTTTGAACTGCTGACCTTGGGGTTCAATGTGTAACTCTCTATGCCACAAGAGCTCCTCCAACAAGTCTTAGGTGGATGAGGAAGATGCCCTGAAGCAAGACTGATGTCATCCTGTCCAGTTGTTTGTTCTTCTCCTCGGTTCCATTGTTTCCACCGACCTATGAAAGCCTTGACAGCAGACTATCTCATCTCAGTGTGGAGGCTGGGAGCGGGAATGACGTCAAGTGGAGGGTTGGCCACGAAAGCCCAATAGAGCCAGGAGCTGCTGCTCCTGCCCAGCCAGAGAGAAATCGAACCAGATGCTGGGATGTACCCATCCTTCCTCAGCCCCTTCTCTCCTAACGATCACCCACAGCTTGTTCATGTTCAGGAAATTAGATCCGAGGAGCTAGAGCAGGGGTGTGTGTGCGTGTGTGATGGGGGACACATATACGTGCTGGCCAAAGCTTGCCGTAAATAAAACAAAAAGCCTCTTGAAATAATTAATCCAGGATCTGGCAGGAGACTTGTTCTTGAGAATGGATCCCCCAACCCCCCTCTAATTAGTCAAACCCACTCAGAGATAAAGCCAGCTGCTTTAAAGATATATCTCCCGCCCACCCCCCTCTATAGAAACTGTTCAAGTACCAGAACAGTCTGGTCAAGACCCTAATACTATGAAAGGCTTTGTAGAGTGTTTTAAGGAGTTTGAACTGCCTGGCTCAGATAGGCCCTCTTGCCAGGTTGCTTGGATCTCACCCAGAACCACCTGAACCGCCACAAAAGCCGCCAGTGGGTTGAACCAAGCGGTATCACCGAGGTGGGGTGCCAGAGTGGGGGGTGGCAGGCCTCTGAAGTCGCAGTCTTCAGTCCCGCACCTCAAGGTGCCGATGGCCGGGCGCCGGGCTATCGGCAAAGCACTGCCAATGCCATAAAGAGCCACTGTTGAATAAGCGTCTCCCCGGGCACAGAAGCCGCCCTACCAGTCTGTGGGAAGCCAACAAAGGCCGAGAGGAAGCCGCCCCCGCGCCCGTCCCGCACGCAGCATTGTATACATATTTAAAACAGCCTGCAAAGTTTCAGGCTGGGGCGCTTGAGCTCCCTCTAGTCTGGAAGCTCCTAGCCCGGGCGCGGATCGACTTCTCCGACAAGCACAACAAAGAGCAGAGTTTGAGCGCACAAAGGCAGAGGACAGGGCGCGCGGAGCTATGCGCCACACAAAGGCCGCGAACCCCTGGCCTTCCACCGCCCGGCCGGGCCACCTGCTCACTACCCCGCTACCGCCCTTGGCAGCCCTTCAGCGAGACCCGGATCGTTTTCTCGCCCTTTCTCTCCCTCCGACTCCAGCGTGGAGCAGAATCGGGAGCGACGGGGACACTTTCTTGCCGGTCCTACGTCGTGAGAAACTTAGCTGTTCCATCTTTAACCTGGCGCCCCTCCCGCGTCTCCAGCACCCCCGCCCGCCCGCCCGCCGGCAGCCTCACCGTTACACCACTGGAACGGGTGCATTGTTGAACTTGGTTGGCTTCCCGGACCAACGAGCGAAGGCGGCGGGGAAGGCAGGCGGGGGCGCGCCGCCGGCTCTCCAGTCGTCCCCAGGAGTCGGTGCGCTCCGAGGCAGCGACCTCTCCGGGAAGTGGAACTCCCTCCGAAGTGTGGGGCTTTGCAAGACCGGTTTTCGGAGCAACAAAGAAGAAAGAGGAGGAAACAGAAAGTCCTCCCTCCGGAGCGCAGCACCTCGGAGGGAAGCGCGCGAGCCGAGCGGCCGAGGCCGGGGCCGGCAGAGATGCGGCACGCGCGCGGCGGAGCTGGGTGGGGCCAGGGAACCGAGCCAGCGGCCGAACTTCTCGGTCCGCAGCGAGAGTTCGGCCCGGTCGGCTGGCTGGTTCGGGTCTCAGTCCGCAGCGGGAGTCCGCGTCAGTCAGAGGCTCGGCTCAGGTGCCGAGGGACGAGCCGGAGACTGTAGAAACTCAGACACTGACACCACGCTGGGCACAGCCCACTTTTATTCACCCCAGAAACCACGCCCTCCCCGTCACTCGCCTCCAGCCAATGGGAGCCTTGCTCCTGCCCCCGGGCCGTGTTCGAAGCGCCCTCGGCTGGTAGCGGGGGCGGGGGCGCGTCCTCACGCGGGGGGTTCCGGCCCCCACGCACCTTCCCCGACTCTGCAAAACTGCGGCGGATGCGAGCGCTGCCCGGAGGGTGCAGAGACCGGCCTCCCGGCTCCTCAGACCCGGAGGGAAAGCAACCGGAGGTGCCACGTTGTTGTCCGCCACCAGACCTGTTGCTGTTTAGCCTTTCTCTGGCCCTGCGCGAAGACGTGCCACCTGTGTCCGTTCGGCGACGCCCCGCCCCCTCCCCGCCCCCGGCAAGAGCCAGGCCCGGGTGCCTGCGCTCCCTCGCTCGCTGCACACCGAGGACCGGGTGCGGATGATGGCAAGGTGAAGTCGAGAGGGGCGTGAACGCCGTCACATTTCTAAACAGCATCTTGTAGTACAAATTAGGAAGGAAGGCCTGAAGCATAAGACAGACGACTTGTCAGGGTTCCGTGCCCCTGGACGGCAGAAGCAAACCCAGAATCGACAGTGTTCATACCTGGAAGGCAGTGTCTTCAACATCTGGCACCGCGTTGGTGGTGAATACATAGTAGCTGGGAGAAGGCCGGGATCTCTTAATGTCACGACATCATTTATCTTTCTCAGCCCCTCCCCCTCTTTTCTTCCAAAAGCCCTCAGTGCGTGCCTCTCAGACTTCATCTCTCTGCCATCGGGTCAATTCCGAGGCCTATTGGCACTTTGGATTTCCGAGAGGCTTTACATCTTTACGGGGGAGGAGGGGGGTAGACAGTCTGTTCTTTCGAAGAGCAGCTGGTGGTGGTCTGGTGGGTTCTAACTACTCAATACGTAGCAGACTACACCCCCAGGGCCCCTTCTGTGTATCAAACACTGTTCAGTACGATGAAGACCCATCAACCCCTCCAGAAACATCAACGTGTCTATAAGGTGACCGTGACTGACCGACAGTGCTTGAGGACACAGACAATAAAGCAAACAGCAACAAAATAAAAGGATGTCTCTCAATCGTCAGTTAAACCCCGAATCTCATGAATCATTCAAGTAAATGTCTTATGTGAAAGTGCTGAGCAAGGACTTTAACTCATGGGAGTTTGTGACCCCCCCAAAAAAAATAAGATTATGCATATAAAGTGATTTGTCATTTAAAAATAATATCCTTAAGGTATCAAGTGACTTTTCCAAGATCATGTGGCAATCTGGAACAAGTAGTTTGGTATTTAATCACTGATAATTGTCTTAAAACATGGGGTTTTTTCTTTATGAGCTTACCTGGAGGGATGCCAGGTGCAGATCAAATTTATTTCATTCTCTTGATCAGTGTTGTCAGGTTGATGCCCGGTGAGAGCAGCCCTATGTAAACCAGATCAAAACCCTGTTGATTAGACAATTGCAAAAGCTTCCTAACTGATGTTAAAAAAACAAAACAAAAACCAAGTTGCCAACATTTGAGCAAAAAGTTTATCCTGAGTAATGACTCTAGATGCTAGAGAAAACAAAACAAGACAAACTGACCTTGTAAGGCAGAGTAGAACTGCCCGTGGGCTTCTGTGACTGTAACCCTTTACGGGAATAGAAGATCCTATCTTCCTCCCACTTCTTTATCCTCAGTTCAGCATCTGTGATTTCAACTGAATGCAGATTGAAAATATTTTTTGTCCGGGGGGTGTGGGGGTTGTTGGGCATGACTCCCAAGAAGCAATCAAGCAGTCAAAATAACCCCTTCAAGGTTAGCAAACAGCAGGAAGTGCTAGTGACCTAGTATGTCCATTGTATTAGGTATTAAAGATAGTTTAGAGATATATTGTATGGGAAGATGTAAATCAATCACATGCAAATTCCATGTTATTTTATATAAAGGAATTGAGCATCCATGGATTAGGTATCAGTAGGGCTTTCTGGAGTCAATCCTTTGACAGCAAAGGATTATTGTATAGAAGGGCAATCATTTGGTTGACTTTTAATAACATGATTGATTGAACCCAGCCTGTCCTTTTATTGAAAACTACTGGTAACAGTTTACTTCTTGCCTAGCTGCTAAGAATTTGGTCCTCTACTCACCTGAATCCAAGAGTCTTTTTGAAGATTTGTATTAAGAGGTAATGGAGGGGTTTTGACCAGGAACCCTAGGGGCCTAGCAAGCTAGGTGTTGGGCTGCTAAATGCAAAGTTAGCAATTCTAAACCCCTCGCAGCTCCAAGGGCAGAAGAGCAGGTGGTCTCTTAACTGCAAGTGTTGCAGTCTCAGGAACCCACAGGAGTGATTTTACTGTCCTAGAGGGTCTACTATAAGATGGAATCCATGAGATGACAGTACGTTTTTGGTTGGTTTCTTGACTATCCTTCTCTAGCAGGATATAACTTGACATCGCTGTAGAGCCCAAGTGATGCTGTGGACTAAAACATTGGCTTCCAACCCCAACATCAGTTGGCAGTGTCACCAGCCATTCCATGGGAAAAACATGAGGTGTCTTTTCCCATGAAGATTTACAATCTTGGAAACCCTATATAAGGTGGAAAACCTTTCTTCTGCCAAGGACCATTGGGTATTTATAACATCATTTTTGGGCCATACTAGTCAAGCATCTAATTAACTCACTTCTAATGTGGTGACTGAGACCACTTCTTTTGGTCAGGTGTATGATGTTAACTGGTATTAGTGATTTCCAGGGCCTATGAGGTCAGAGGGCTCTAAGCTCCCCACCCTGACTGTCTAGAGTCATTATGATTCAGAATCAAGTGGATGACTGTGAGTTTGTGTTTTAAAGAACAGTTTCTAGCAGACTTCCCATGATTACTATTTGGTTTTGTGGTGGTCGTGGGAGAAAAGAGACCTCCTCCCCTCAAAAAATCTCAACTATAATTTATAAGGACACATTTATTCATTGTAAAACAGAACAAAGACAAAGGAAAATTATCTGGATGAGGGAGACCACCAGACCATAATGGTGTCCAAGGATTCTCTGTCACGTGGCCACCTAATAGGACATGGAGGACAAAGGAAAGTGTCTCAAAATCATAATTGGCAGCAGATCAATTCATCATAGTTGCAGTAGGGACTACAGAAGCAGGAAAGGGACCACAGCCACTATTGCGGATTGTTGTTCATGTTAGGCACCCTCAAGTAGGTTCCAACTCATAGAGATGCTGTGTACGAGAGAACAAGACACCAGCCTGTCCTGTGTTATCCTCACAACGGTTACGTTTGAACCTATTGTTGCAGTCACTGTGCTAGTCCATCTCTTTGAAGGACTTTCTCGTCTCTCCTGCTTATCTACTTTATAAGCTTAATGGTGGCAAACTGACAGACAAGGGATGGATTGTAAATTAGAAAAGATTTTAACGTTTACAAAATTGGACCACACCCCCATCCCCCTCTCGACCAAGGCAGGGTAAGACTCGTGACCCTCAGAACCAACCGACGCACTGCCATTGAATTGATGCAGACGAACAATGAATGACCTGCAAGACAAGGCAGAGCTACCCCTCTGGGGTCTGAGGCTGTGATCGTTAGAGGACTAGAAAATCTCATCGTTCTTGCTCAAGGCAGCTGGTGAATTTGAACCGCGGACCTTGTAGTTAGCAAACCGATTTGTAACCCACTATCGCACCAGACCTACCAATCTGTGTGCGCCATAACAAACTATGGATAGCCGTGAGAAGAATGGGAATTCTAGAACACTTAATTTTGCTCATATGGAATGTATACATGGATCAAGAGGCAGGCGAGTGAGCACAGCAAGCAAATACTTCATGGTTTAAAATCAGGAATGTGTCCTCTCACCATACTTGTTCAAACTGTAAGCTGAGCAAATCATCAGGGAAGTGGAATTCTATGAAAACATATGCGACATCAGGATTGGAGGAAGGCTTATTAACGATCCACCATATGCAGAAGACACAACCTTGCTTGCTGAGAGGTGAAGCACTTGCTGATGAAGATCAAAGATTTCAGCCTTCAATATGGATTACAACTCAATGTAAAGAGAAATCCTCACAATTGGACCAATAGGTAACATGATAAAAAAAGAAAAAGATTGAAGTTGTCAAGAATTTTACCTTGCTTGGATCTACAATCAATGCTCATGGAATCAGCAGTTAAGAGATCAAAAGACACTTTGTATTGGGTGTGGTAGTTACATAAGTTCAAGTCAACTTGATTAATAGAATGAAGGAGTGGAGTCTAGCCTAAGGTGACCAGATGTTCCGCTTTTGGCGAGACAGTCCCGATTTTTAACATTTTGCCCCGCATCCCGCAGTGTTTTAAAAAGTCCGAGTTTTGGAAAGAATGCACGACAAGCTAGGGAATGGCAGGAGAACGAGAAGGGAATATACGGTTTTCGGCTGCCATGTGGCTATTTCGCCAGGATATGAGTTTTATATTATTTTTGTTAAGTTTATAATGTTAAACTTTAACAATAACAAATAATTGTTGAGAACTGCTTATCAAAGTTTGCATTGTTGATCAATTGTTAGAATTCAACTACCATTGTTTGGACTTAATGAACAATGGCATTTTTTGGCATTGGCAACGAGGAAAACATTTTGTAACTGTCTCTTAGATGATACATATCGTACTGTGTGCTAGTGCTAGTTAAACAAGTGATGTCAACAAATCAGCTATTTAGATAATTTAGGTAAGTAATTTATTTATTTATTTCATAAACACATAAATTTTATTGAATTGAGCAGACAG